TAAATAAGTAAATAAATACATGAGGGTGTGTGTGTCAAAGGTAGGGTCTATAGCGGGTAACCCATAACACTGCCTTACAGCTTGGTATCACTCATGAGGGTGTGAGTATCAAAGGTAGACTAGTCCATGGCGGGTAACCCATAACACTGCCTTACAGCTTGGTATCACTCATGAGGGTGTGAGTATCAAAGGTAGGGTCTATAGCGGGTAACCCATAACACTGCCTTACAGCTTGGTATCACTCATGAGGGTGTGAGTATCAAAGGTAGACTAGTCCATGGCGGGTAACCCATAACACTGCCTTACAGCTTGGTATCACCCATGAGGGTGTGAGTATCAAGGGTAGGGTCCATAGAGGGTAACCCATAACACTGCCTTACAGCTTGGTATCACTCATGAGGGTGTGAGTATCAAAGGTAGGGTCCATGGCGGGTAACCCATAACACTGCCTTACAGCTTGGTATCACCCATGAGGGTGTGAGTATCAAAGGTAGGGTCCATGGTGGGTAACCCATAACACTGCCTTACAGCTTGGTATCACCCATGAGGGTGTGAGTATCAAAGGTAGGGTCCATAGAGGGTAACCCATAACACTGCCTTACAGCTTGGTATCACTCATGAGGGTGTGAGTATCAAAGGTAGGGTCCATGGCGGGTAACCCATAACACTGCCTTACAGCTTGGTATCACTCATGAGGGTGTGAGTATCAAAGGTAGGGTCCATGGCGGGTAACCCATAACACTGCCTTACAGCTTGGTATCACTCATAAAGGACCCATGCTGATTGTGATAGCTAGAAGCCATATAAAAATACGGTGATGATTCGAGTACTCATGTAAGTCAAAATAATAATAATAACTTAATTGTCTCCATGTAAAAAGATTAATATATAGGATAATAGTAAAATAATTAAGATATGTATGAATAAGGTAATACAGACAGCTAATGACTATTAGCATAATTGTCAATGCTTATAACAAAGGTGAATATGCATCTAATTTTGGTTTGTGATCTGATTGATAATTTGATTTCATTTTGATTATGGTAAATCATATATTGAAACATTGACCGCAACCATACAGTTCTTGGAGATTTCAATCAAACTGGCTTAGATATGACAATATACATATTTAGTTGAATGTGTATGTGATTTTTAGATTTGTACACAGACAATATATCATATCAGATATTTGCATGTATCACCTAATATTGTTTGTAATTTGGTCATTAAATCAATGTGTCCATAGTAACCAGTTCTCAGAGCTGACTAGACAATATCTATCAAACTTTGTATGATGACAATTATACATTTGGGTTGCAGGTATACAAACATTATTTTTTTCAAGATCAGCTTCAAGATGGCTGTCTGGGGGTCATATTTTAGTCTCCACCTATTTCCCTGGATCATAATTACTGTGTCAAAACTTTCTTTTTAAATTAATCGCAGTAACCTCACATGATTTCAAAATGTCAAAAGCACTTCCTTTATGAAAATTTCACCCTTTGAAGCTCTGAAATCATGCTTCACATCTTTTCTGAATCTTAGCATAGCTGACCATGCTTTTAGTCATATTACTCTATTTTTGGCATAAATAACATTTCCCCTAATTCCAACAGGATCATTAACAATGACTTGTTGTATTATTCGATATACTCTTTCCAATGTTTCTAAGTTTGTTTTTAGTACACTGAAAATCTAAATCTTGTTATAACAATGTGTATATTTTCCCTAGATTATTCTCCATGTGGTCATGCTGGTGATACTAAATTAGATTCTCGTGCTCGGATTGTTGGTGGTAATAATGCTGCAGAGGGTGCCTGGCCATGGCAAGCTGCTATATTTGAAAAGAGAGGAGAACATGTAGGTACTATGTTATCAGTAATGGAATTCGCCCATTCCTCACCATCTTTATGGAATCAATTACCAAATGACATCTGTTCTGCTCCAAATGTTAACATCTTCAAAACCAAACTCAAATCTTACCTGTTTCAGTAAGCCTATCTGTGAAACTAAATGTCATTGGGCATCACTGTGATGGATACTAGGCGCTATATAAACTTATATTTATTTTATTATTTATTATCATGATCTACATTGTAGACCCATTATTGCTATTTAGCAAAAATAGTATGTAGATGTTCTATTTTTACATGTATCTGATTCGCGACTATTTTCTTAACGCATCGCAATCTTATTAGTACAAATTTGGCACCTTTCACGCAAATGTGCAGTAATTAATTCTATCTGTGATATCAAACATTTCAGGTGAGATTGGTAAAAGGTACATTTGGAAAAACAAATCGCTTGCACTGTCATTGTTAAGGGAATAAAAAAACGGTCATGTCCACAGATTCGGTAATAAAACACAAAAGTGTATGATATTGCCGGGATTGATATCACATGGCTTTGTCAGATGGTCTTTACATGATACGTAGGATAAATACACATACAGACAATCTGTATGTAATTGCCATACTTTATAGTTTTACTTAAAATTATAAGGTTTATTAAAAATTTCATCATATTAATTTTCAGAGAGAAATCTTCTGTGGCGGTTCACTGATTAGTCCAAACTGGGTTCTTTCTGCTGCCCATTGTTTTAGGAATTATATTAGAAACATAGATGCCTCGGATATTGAAATTAGACTTGGTAAGTCTTAAATAGTACTGATTTGAAGATTGTTTTTGCCTATAATGTTTAATGGAGTTGCAGAGTAAAATTTGTTCATAGAAGCAGTATGCTCACTCTAAAATGGTGACTACTGATACCACTTGCGTGTATCTAGTCAACTCATAAAATCTTGTATAATTGTATTCAAATTGAAACAAAATGACCGCCATATTCAGTTATTGAACACGTATGCTGAACAACTTTCTATTTTGGCAGGAGTTGTGGACAGAAACGAGAACTAATTGAACTAAGAGTCAAAATGCATTGAAGTCACAGGCTTAGAAACAAAAATATTATATAAAATCCACCAAACTGCAAAGCAATGATTTCTCAAAACGGACATTTAAAATAAAAACTTTCCACCCTGCCAATGTTAAACTTTTTGCTCATTGTGTTGTATATACATGTGAACTTCTAAATTTGTTCTGGAGACAAGTAAGACAAGCAAAGTGAAAAAAATAGATGGAGGCAGCTTGGGTAAACTAGTAGCCATTTGTTAGAATGGATTTTGTTCCTGAGTAATATCTATGCATGAATTAATCTTGTTCAAACTTCACACATACATTTAAGGGGTGTATAGACTCGACTAGTTTAAAACTACATGTATATTGTAAATTTTTATTATTATTATTATTATTATTATTATTTGTACCTTATTTTTTTCTGGTAGCATAAATTTATCACATCATATATTCTATTCGGTAACAAAGCGATTATCATTCTTTATTTTGTTTTTTCTTTGCGGGGGTGGGGCGTGGGGGTAGACTTGGATTGTGTTTCCGTTTTGAACTGTATACTGTACCATCATTTTTTGTTTGTTTTGTCAATATTTGTTAATGTAAGTGTTTAAAAAAGACATAACAAATTTATAAAAAAAGAAAA